CGGACGGGTGCTTCCGCCGACGTCAAACGGCCGCGCGGAAGAACAAGCGTTTATTTTTCACGGGAATAACGAAGTTATCGCGGAACCGCGCGTCGCAGCCTTTGTCACTGAGCATCCATTCGGGGTCGCTTTAAAATTCGTCCGCCCCGGGGGGAGATTACCAGCGGACCGAAAAGAAAAGAGGGGGGGGGCAGCGACAGCAGAAAAAATTGAGTAAAAGAAACGGCAGAAAGGCCGCGGCGGAGAAGGCTTCGACGCGCGGCGAGGCGGGGCGAGGCGAGGCGAGGCGAGGCGAGCGCCGAGGGAGAAGTATGCTTCAGAGAAGGCAAATGTTTAACAAGGCCGGCACGCAAAGTGGCCATCAAGATGAAATAAGCGCGCCTGCTGCGCGGCCGCGGGGCGGGCAAATACCGCGCGCTCGCTGCATCATTGAGGGCCCGCTCAATCAATGTATCATGCAGTAACGAGGCCGCCAAGGAGTCCAGATTATTCAATAATACACCGATTCGTTGAACGCCGCCGCCGCCGGGGAGGCCTTTGCGACGAAGCGCGCGCGTAGGAGCCGCTGCGGGCGGTTCTCGAGGCAGCACCACCGAGGCCTCCTAATGGTGGAGTCCATAATAGAGGAAGATATAGGATAGCTATAAAAATTTATAGTTTCAGTAACTCAAAACCAGTGTAACAAAAAAGTGTACGCCACGGCTACGTTTAGAATCTTCCGGCGCAGTGAAGCAATCCATGCATCCAGGAATAGACAGGTCTACACTAGCGGTTGAAGGGTTGTGCCTCTACGCGACGAACAACTGCGAATCGACTCGGGAATAAGGGGATTTCGCGGTTTGGTTTCAGATGTCCTCTCACCGGTTTCACTGCGAAGCGTGCCGAATTTCTTTTCGGAAAGATTTACCTGGGACGTCTCTCCCGTGCCGCTCCATACTAGCCTTTCGCCTTTGATCAGAGATACTTTCTGGCGTTATTTCTAAATTTGCAATTTTCGAGAATTCGGAAAGTTCATCGACAATAAGACAAGCGTCATTCTTTTAACCGTCACCAATCATTGGGGAAAAATGAAAGAAAAAATCGGGCGGTTTGTGAGAAAATGTTTTTTGTTTTTTTAATTTGGATTAATTTCAAACGCAATTTACTCAAAAACTACTAGCATCTTTTTTCTTAAAAAAAAATTGTAGCCATCTGTTTGAAGTTTTGAATTGTTAACGTTTTGTAATTATCGAAAAAGCGGTAAGATAACCGATAATGGAACTAGCGCCACATTTGTTTTACCGTTTCATAATACATATGATCAGAAAATTTTAAGAAAAAATTGGAACGTTTTTTTTAAAAAAATGTTAAATGTTTTTTAACTTGCCTATATTTCTTGGCAAATTACATGAAAAATACAAATATTTTCGAAATATTGAACACGAACTTATTTGAAGAACTATCTTCCAGGAACAGATTTCATGAAGGAAACAATCTCAACCTACAATATTGCAGATCTAGGAAGTTGTCCCAAAAAAATGCCCTTTTGCTATTTTCAAAAAAGCTGAGATTCCGAATGTATATGTGGCCGGCTTCATCAAAAATGTTGGTGTCATTTTTGAGAAAATTTTGAAAATGTTTTTGAGGCTTCATGTAAAGTACCCTCAAAAATTAAAATATTAGTTTGAAACTACAAAAGACTGCAGTTCGTTCAGATCGATCATGGAATATCAATTTTGGAGAAAATCGTCAGAACGGTTTAGACGCTAGCGTTGATCACAGACAGACGTTTTGCCGTCAATCGATTTTTCGGTATCAAGAACCCACAAAACATGGATTCTGGCATCATTACCTGTTAGAGACATTTTTATCAACTTTTCCATTTAATCGTTTCCAAGACCCGGCAATGAGTTTTGCTGCCTATAATCCATTTTCCGGCGCACGATTACATAACTTCCTCTTCTTTCGGAGTTCCTTCGTAAGGTCGAGAAAGTAGAAATAGTAAATGCTAGATTCTGTTGGTCTTTTTCACGATTAACCCCCCCCCCCGATAGTCCGTGGATAGTTCTTTTCTTTCCTGGTTCTATACCAGTACT